TGCTTTGTGAATGATGAATGTTGGACAATGACTAAGGCGCCTAAAACTGTCATTGCGTTCTTATAATGTAACAACCAATACTTTGTAGCTTTCCTTTCATTGAATTAAAAAAAAAATTTCACTTCAGTAAACAAAACTAAACACCAGCCTAGGAAACCCTATGGGGCAGTTCTGCTCTGTCACATAGGGTGACTTTGAGCCAGAAACAACTCAGAGCACAGAACAACAACCATCAGGCAATTGTTTTGTCTTTGAAATTAGCATGTACTTTACACTCACAACACAGCTCCATTCACATTAGGCACAAATGCTCATTGGCTGTCAGGAGACAACAAAGTCACACACCTTTCCTGAGGGCTCAGTCTTCATACCCCTTGTTTTCATATACCCTCATTCCATAGGAAATTCATGCAATCACGTGGTCTTAAATTATACTTAAATACGACTAACTCCCAACTTTGTTCTGCTCACCCTGACCTCCCCAAGTGTCTGTCGGATTCTAATGCTTAGATGTCCAAACTTCAATTACTGATTTTGCATTCTCCAAATCCATTCTTTCCCCCAAATCTCCCTATTTCAGTAAATGGCAACTCCATTCTTTGAGATGCTATGGCCAAAACGCTTGGGAGTCATCTTTGATCTTTCTTTTTCACATCATATATCCACTTGAGCAGAAAACCTTGTTGGTCTTACATTTGATATAGATCTTAAACATGACTGGTGGTGGTGGTGGTGATGTGCCGTGGAGTCTGTTCCAACTCACAGTGACCCTGCATACGGTTTCCGAGGAGCCACTGGTGAGCTTGAACCACTGACCTTGTGGCTCAAACCAACCCTGCAGTCCAGTGCATTAACTCACAGTGTCACACCAGGACTCATACATATATACATATTTATAGGCATTATGGCAAATATGTTTTGCTTCATGCTGGACCTGGAGCCTGCACCTACCTTCTCATTATTTAACCACTGGTTCTTTGGACTTGAGCAAAAGGTCTGTGGATCCTGGGAGTCATTAGCCTCTGCAGCCTGGGTTAGCAGCCTGCCAATCGTGGGTTCATCAGCCCCAGCAGCCTCCAATGTAATATCTATCTGACCCATGGATTTGTAACTTGACACCGTCTACTTGATAGCATGAGCTATTTCCTTGAGAAAAATTTCAGTATACATGTATATGAAAAGGAGCTCTGGTAGTGTAGTGGTTACAAATCGGGCTGCTAACCTCAGGGTCAGCAGTTTGAAACTACCAGCTGTTCCACAGGAGAAAGATGAGGCATTCTGCTCCCGTAAAGATTTGCAGCTTTGGAAACCTTGTACAGGGTCACTGTGGTGAGTCAGAGCCGACTCCATGGCACATAACAACAACAACAACATACATGTATATAAATTTCACTAGTTTTGCTGCACTAAAGCACCTTGCTTCAAACAGTAACGTGCTTGAGAGTGTGAGTCCATAAGATCATGTACAGCTTCCACACCCATCTCTATTTTTTAAATATTCACAAAGAACACAAACACCATGAACACATCAAACAACCGGAATGAACTGTTTTATTTACTTGAAATCTTTATTTAATTTTCATAAGAAATATACAATACCAAAGTATCTTTACACTAGTATACTTGGTTCCATCTCCCTTCTACCTCCCTTCTTTCTAGAGCCGATCACATTAGGGAAATGTGTGTACCCTTCAAATTTTACATAAGATATTCACCCATAACCAATGATTAACCAATGTTTAATATGAGTTTTTGGTTAATGATTATATTCAACACAGCTTTCATTAAAATACAGTCATTTTTCCTTCAGTTTTTCTACACATTTTTCAGATCTTCCTCCATTAATACTTATTTAGTATACTTAACTGCTAAAGTATTCTACTACATGACCATCATACTTCATTTATCCAGTTCACAAGTGGCATATTTGCTTCAATTTTTTGACCACTATAATTCTTGCTGAAATAAACATACTGGTATGCAGTTCCCTGGCTACATGCTTTCTTTCTCCGAGGTTTTAGACATTCTCCTTCGAATACTAAGTTTTGCCTTTTGCATTCTACTTTCCAATTTTTAAAAAATTGTAATAAATGTTTTGATGTATGATAACTGAAAACCTATTATTTTCACACAGGAGTATTCAATTACCCTGAGACTACTTTCTGAATCATCCATGGTGTCCCTAATTCGTGATGCCACCTATATTAATCACGAATTTCCGATAAATTGACAATTCTGTATTCAATATTCTTTCTAATCTCTATTATATGTCTACACCAAAAGCAAATAATTTTGATTATGGCTTTACAAATCATAAAACCATAATTTAAAACTAATTTTGTCTCTTAAAGTCATCTCCTTATATCTTCATCTTACTGTATTGGGTAGGCATTCTAGGGGCACACGGATAAGTAGCAAAATAACAGTGTCCATCTCTGGATCTGGACTTCAATGGGAATGCTCCTGAAAATAAAGGATTAACAATGTTGCGTAAATGCTAAGGGTACAGGTTTTCATTATATGAGGGCAAATTAAAAAAAAAAAAAAAGTGTGGCTACCAGTTCATACATGCAGAGGTTTATTCTCTGTAATCAGTGGATGGCTACACTCAAGTTCTCTCAGTAATTCACTTGTCTTAACCTCATTTGAGTGCCTTCAAAAGAAAAAGAAAAAAAAATCCAATCAAAATATCAAAATAGTGGGTATATCTTCTGAGGAGATCTGATGGACCAGTTAAATTCAAGGCAGACATTAACCCAGATAATTATACAAAGAGAAGAGTTTTTGGAACTTCAAAGGGCTGATATCTTGATAGATTTTCTTGAAGGGTATAGAACAATCAGGAGGACTTCTTAGGAAACAAGAGAAAAACTGCATTGGTGAAAAAAAGGCCAGGAAAGGTGCACCAAGAAATTTTTCAATTTCAACAATTCACCTAGCTCACTCTTCAAATGCAGCAAGAACAGTCTTATAAGAGTTTCACTGGGAACCCTTACCCTAGCCACCCTACCGCTAAGATCTTGTTAATTCAAACTTTTGTTTTGTTTTGTTCCCAAACTCAAAAACACAATTTGAGTCCCTCAAGGATGTCACAGCTGCCATTTTGATGTGGTGTAAATTGAAGAGCCCAGAATTCATTGGGGGAAGGATTGTAGAGATGGACCACCTTTAGAAGTGTATAAACTTAGATGGAGGATATACTGAAAAATAATAATTCACATCTTGATATTTCTGTTTAATAAAAGTTTCTATGACTTTGTAGCAACTTTTTGACTTACCTAGTAATATGATGTTGTTGTTGTTGTTAAGTGCCATTGAGTCGGATTCCGACCCCTAGCAACCCTGTTTTTGAGGAGCAACTGGTGAGCTTGAACCATCAACCTTGCAGTTTAAACCAATTTTGCAGTCCAGTTCATTAATCCACAGCGCATATAATTATTGTTAAAAACCTCAGCTTTAGGTTTTAAGTTGGTGAAGAATTTAACAGTGATAGTTGCTGTCAGTTTGTTATTCAAATGAATTTTCCGATGTGTTGTTAAGTATAAATTCTGCTGAAGGCATTTTAAAGGCATCCACAGAGCTTTACTGAGTATGAATTCTCTGATGTCTGATGTGATGTGATTTCTGGCTAAAGGCTTTTCCACATTCACTACACTGATAAGGTTTTTCACCTGTATGGATTCTCATATGCAGAGCAAGGGTTGAAAACTGAGAGAAGGCTTTTCCACATTCACTACAACCGTAGGGTTTCTCACCGGTATGACTTCTCATATGCACAGTAAGAGATGAACTTTGACAGAAGGCTTTCCCACATATTTTACATTCATAAGGTTTATCACCTGTGTGAATTCTCACATGGACAATAAGTGAAGTGATTCGAGAGAAGGCTTTTCCACATTTATTACATTCATAGGGTTTTTCTCCTGTATGAATATTATGATGTTTAATGAGGTATTGCTTCTGTCTGAAGATTGTTCCACATTCATTACATTTATAGGGTTTCTCTCCAATATGAATTTTCTCGTGCTCAGTGAGATTTGATTTGCCACTGAAGGCTTTCCCACATTCCTTACAAGTATAGGGTTTCTCCCCCGTATGACTTCTCTGGTGTCTAATGAGACTTGACTTCTGAATGAATGCTTTCCCACAGCCTTTACATTCAAAAGGTTTCTCTCCAGTATGGATTCTCTGATGGATAATGAGTTTTTCCTTCTTACTAAATGCTTTCCCACATTCATTACACTCAAAGGGCTTCTTTCCACTATGAATATTCTGATGTTTAATGAGGTATTGCTTCTGGCTGAAGGCTCTTCCACATTGATTACATTCAAATGGTTTCTCTCCAGTATGAATTTTCTCATGCTCAGAGAGATAAGATTTTCCATGAAAGGTTCTCCCACATTCCTTACATACATATGGCTTTCTCTGGTACCTAATGAGGCCTGCCATCTGAATAGAAGTCTTCTCACATTCATAGGGTCTCTCAGCAATATGTTGTTTCTGATGAGAAAGGAAATTTCTCTTCTGGCTGAAGGTTTTTCCACACTTATTACATGTAAATGTTTTTTTCCGTGTATGACTTCTCAAATTCTGAGTAAGGGATGAGTTTTGAGAAAACACTTTGCCACATTCAGTTAATTCCTGAGATTCTGCTCTAGTATGCATTTTCTCATGATAGGGTTTTGCTTCAGACTAAAGGTTTTTCCACATTCATTACATCCATGAGGTTCCTCTCCAAGGTGAATCTGTACATGCTAAAGGAGACGTGAGTCCGACTGAAGGTTTTCTAACATTCCTATCATGCAGAGTTTTTCGCCTACATGACTTCCCTGGCTAGGACATCAATGAAAGCTTTCCACAGTTACTAAATGGACGCTTTCTCTCCAGTATTAATTCTCAGGCATCTAATCAAGTTGAATTTCTTTCCTCACATGCATCACCCCAAAATGATATGATTACAAAAAGGCATAAAATATAGCACTCATAATATTCTTAATACTTCTTTCATATACAGCTTCTTTCATATTTAAGAAATTATTTCCCAAGTTCTTTCAAATTTCATTACAGATAGCAAGGGGTTGTCCTGAAGAATTAATGTCTGTGCTAAGAGAAAATTTTTTTGTCTCTTAGGTTTTTCTGGCTTTTTCATCAATCAGTCTGTATTTTCATAGAGAAGGATGACACTTGACTGAGAAGTTTTTCATGTTGTATATATATATCTGTTATAAAGTTCCCAGTCTGTTTTTCCTAAAAGAGTAACAACAACAAAAAAATAACAGTTAGCAGGCATATTTAGTAATTGGTATGTAAAATGTACCAAATAAACGAGCTATCATTATGATCAACATCATTAGTACCATCTGTGAAGTTTTCCATTTTTACTAACAAAATTTCAGAAATATACTATTGCAAATTCTTACTTCAAGTCTAGTTTCCCAGTATAAAACATATCTTAAATGTAAATTATATTTGTGGGTACATGAGATTACTTTGGCTAATTGGGGTCTTTTGCAGTTCTGTGTAAATTTGAGGATTGGCTTTTTCTCTGTGAAGAGGGGTGCTGGGAATTTTCCTGATTACTGGGAGTTGTGGTGTAGTACTGTAGGATAAGCATTGGCCTGCTAATCGCAAGGTTGGCAGTTCAAGCCAGCAACCATTCTTGGGAACCCTTTATAGGGCTGCTGTAAGAAATTAGTCAATGACACTCAACAACAAAACACAACATTGGGAGTATTGTCATTGTTTTAGTCTGAGGTCTCTGGAGGAAGAAAACCAGTAAAGCTTTTATGTTGTTCCTACTGTGTGCTGTTTAATTGATTCCTTCAATAGTGACCCTGTGTAGTGTTTTTAAGAGTGAATGGTGGGTTCGAACTGCTGACCTTGCAGTTTGCAGTCCACTGCTTATCCTCCAATGCCACACCAAGACTTGAATATCAATATATATAAAACTCACTGCCATTGAGTTAATTCCAACTCATAGTGACCCTGTATGTTGTTGTTATGTGCTGTGGAGTCGGTTCCGACTAATAGGGACCCTATACAGGGTTTCCGAGGCTGTAAGTCTTTACAGGAGCAGAAAGCCTCATCTTTCTCCCGTGGAACAACTGGTAGTTTTGAACTGCTGACCTTGAGGTTTGCAGCCTGATTCATAACCACAACGTTACCAGAGCTCCTTTGTGACCCTAGATAGGGCTTCCAAAATGAAAAATCTTTACAGGAGCTGACAGTCTCCTCTTTTTTCCACAGAACAACTGGCAAGTGTAAACTGCCAAGCATGCATTTATAGATACATATTATCAAGTAACAGTAACCCAAACCATCTCTTACTGATATGATAGACATATACTTACTGTGGCACTGTAGGATAAACACTGGATTCCTAACCACAAGGTCAGTGGTCCAAACCCACCAAGCTGCTGTTGGAAACCTGATACAGGGTCACTATGAGTCAACTCAGCAGCACTTACCACATTAGAGTCAAGTCTGACTCACAGCAGCCCTCTAGGACAGAGGAGAACTGCTCCTCAGGGTTTCTGAGATGGTAAATCTTTAAGGGCACAGACAGCCTCATCTTCCTCCTGCACAGTGGCTGGTGGGTTTCAACTACAGACTTTGTTTGTGGCTAGCAGCCCAATGCTTTGCCCACTGTGCCACTAGGGATTCTTGATCAAATATGCATATCAACCAATGGATTTAAAACGAGAGTTCAGAGATAAATTCATACATATATGGCCAATTAATCTTCGTAAAATTCATTAAATGGGGGAAATTGTCTCTTTAACAGATGGTGCTAGGATAAGTAGATTTCCACATACGTCACACTATGTGCTGAAACTAATTCAAAAGGAATCAAAGATCTAAATATACAACCTAAAACCATAAAACTCTTAGAAGAAAACACAGGGCTAATGCTTTCAAACGTAGACTTCAACAACAGGTTCTTAGATATGAAACAGAAAGCACAAGCACCTAAAGACAAAACAACTATATGGGACCTTATCAAAATGGAAAACTTTGCTACATCAAAGAACTCTATCAATGATATAAATGGACTGCGAGCAAAAATTGGGGAGGTATACACCAAAGAAGGAAGGAGCTCTGGTAGCGTAGTGGTTACGAATCGGGCTGCGAACCTTAAGGTCAGCGGTTCGAAAC